GGGGGCATACCCTAGAAGGGGAAAGGGAAAGGAAAAATAAGGCAGATGGGAGAATAGCTAGGCAGGGTTACATGGGCTAAATAGGATAGCGGTAAATAACAATGCAAGCACAAACATGGACCAACAGGGTTCATGGATACAAAGATTGAAGCATGGTTTGAATGGGTAAAAGTGGGGAAATGATGTTAAGATGCTTGGCTGTCTGTTGAATCTTGGTTTCCCTTGCCTACTGTTGTAAAATAGACACTTGAACGGGAGAAAGTGGAATAGCCAGAAACATCACCAGAGAAAGTTTGTAAATTTATCTTCAGCCTATAACTGTTTGGAATACCTAAAATAGGGCTAGAACTTGCTCAGTTAAGGAGACTCCCTACAGAGCCTTTGCATTGCACAAACCATAGGTGGAATTCTGATCCCCATCCAGAATCTTCTGAGGTGGGACATTCCCACATGAAAGGACAAGCAGACCAGTCTGGAGCAGCTAAAAGAACAGCAGATACTTCTTGAAAGAAAGATCAGCAGGAAAAATAAAAAACAATAACAGCAGTCCAATTGACTACTATAAGAACAAGCAAGTTGTTCCCCAGGGAGCCATCAAAGCAAGTGGTCAGGTCCCCTCAAGGCAAACCCCCTTCCAAAACTGAAACTCAAATGGAATACACTAGCAGGCAGGTGGTCCTGCTGCTGACCATTTTGGTCGCCGATAAGGGGAAGAGGGAGAAAAACAGCAATGAAGTTGTGAACTAAGTCCGACCACATTCAATAGACTCCTGTTAACCTGGGTTTAAACCTGGTTAACCATCAATAAGACGAGACCTGGGGACTCCTGGACCCAGGGGCAGGGACATGGTCCCAGAGGACTTGAACAGAGTGTGAAGCATCCAGCTGATATAAAGAGAGGGGGGATGCACAAGAACACCCACACTTGCAGATAGTACCCATTTGACCTGCCATCAATGGCTGGATGATCAGAACACGACTAGAGGAAGAAACAAGAGGAAAACAAAGGAGTAACCCACTATAAGTGGATGATCTTGACCTATGCTTATGGATGCAGTAGGACAAAGGAGCAGACAAATCTCTACAGTGAGGATCATCCACACCCCCTTGGTACACAGGGTCGACAGGGAGAGGGAACTTAGACATTGGCTACCCACATTGGGGAGACTACAAAGGCAAGAAGTGACTGGCTTACAAGCTTTCAATAGGGAACCTAGCTCCAGAGGATACAGAGAAAGGTAGAACCTCCACTGAATTGTTTCCAACCTGTCTGGATGGGATTGATAAAAGGTGAGGGGGAAAGGACTCCTGTGATTCAATAGGGAATGATTGCTATAAGGTCTGACTGTGAGTGTTGGAAAGGTAAATGTAAATGTTTGGTAACAAAAGGAGGGGAGTGGCTGATTTTGCAGTCCAGGAGCTGAGATCCCTGGAACCTTCAAGGGAGAAAAGCAAAGTGGGAGCCCCTGTGCGGAGAGGCAGTGACACTAGAGATGGAGGCACAGGCGATGACGTGGACAGGAGCAGCTAGGGACTCTGGCCTCAGGGAGGGAGAGGGGTTGTGTGCTGGCGGCCAGGGGGCAGGAGTGTGGGGTGTACCCTTTGGGTGTTTGATGATGCATGCAAGGGATTGTGATCATTACAATGAAACAAAGTACGATAGGATGAATGTAAGATAATGTTCACTCATGTAAACTAACACATAATTCATAATAAAAAGTTTTTTAAAAAGACAGGGACTGTAATCGCATTAATAAGGACTGAGGCATAATCAGTGAGTCCCTGGATTGTACAAACAGTTAAGCACTGCAACAGCTTGGTAACAGTTTGAACCTACCCAGAGAAGCCTAGGGAAAAAGATTTAGTGACCTGCTTCTGACCAGTCACAAGCATAGAAACCCCATGAAGGGCATTTCTACTCTGAAACGTGTGGTTGCCATGAGTTGTAATTGACTTGACGGCAACTGGAGCAGAGTTGTAAAGGCCAGAACCTCAACTGGTCACCTGTCGTCATTGGTAAGGAGCCATTGTGGAACAATAGTTAAGTGCTTGATTGATAACTGAAAGGTTAGTGGTTCAAACCCACCCAGCAGCTCAATGAGAAAAAGAGCTGGTGATCTGCTTCTGTAAAGATTACAGCCTAGAAATCTCTATGAGCAGTTCTACTCAGTTGCATGAGTCAGAATTGATTCAAAAGCACCTAACAACATCAACAACAATAGCCACGAGGTAGAATCTAACTTCTAACCCTTCTAGAACATTGCCCTCTGGGCCTCCGTGGTTCATGGGACCAGTCAGCAGTGCATTCCCTAGGCTGTCATCGGGATTCCCGGCGCTTTGGTAGAGGTCACTCATCTTTAGTAGAGGTCACTCAAATGGCAGCTTTAGCCTTACCTTCTTGCATCACCTTGTGCAGAGATAAGAATCTAGTGTATCAGTGTATAAACACTGACTGAATTATGGTATGAACAGAATATTTGACAAATGAAAAATTAATCACTCTTCCATACACACATCATATCTCTTCAAGGCCCCACTAGAGTTTAATAAAGATGTATTGCAATGTGTCAAATGAGGATTTAGAAAACATGAAGTAGGAATTCCAATAATGATTTTTTTTTTTTTTTTTTGGTAATGACAATATAGGACCTCTGTTTTTTTTATAGACCAGAAGCACTTTTACTTAAAAACAAATAAATGAAAAAGAAACTTTGCCCGCACAAATCACCAATAAAGTCGTTGTTGAAAGGAAATAAAAACCATGTCTTACTTAGAAGTTTACATTGTCCACATATTCAATCCATAAAAAAAAGAAAAAGTCATGATAAAATAGCAGCACCTTTGTTAGATCAAGTGATTTAAAAAGACACAAATAAATGTGATATATTGATTGTTCAACAGAATTATTTACATTTCCCTCCCTCAGAAAAATAGTGTTAGTAAACTGGCTATCCACAGGGATGTGAAAAGAGCCTAGTTATGTTGAACTGGACTTTGAAGTGACATTTATTGAAATAACAATCTATTTTCCCACCAATCACTTACATCTTTGCTTCTGGTTCCTTTATTACCAATGTGGAACTCCCCACTCCTCCAGGGATGCTATGAACTGATCTCTGGGCCAATGGACCGACATGCTTGGGGTGTTGCCTGGTTTGGATTTGCCATTCTCTGCTGGACCGTGAGTATCATTACCTGACACATGTTTTATCTCTGAGAGGATGATGAGCAAGAGAAGACACCTAAACGTTCTTAGTTACCTCAGCCACAACAAAACCTCAGACCTAGGCTAGTTAGGGAGTTTTTTAAAGGACTTTTAAGAAAGAGGAGGTTGTGGAGTTAACTTCCCTAACCAGAGGAAGAGTGTGCTCTAGCAAATATACCCTTCTTATGGCTGGCTGAGATGTGCTTGCCTTCAGGGGCTAGAGAACCTCTTTCCCTCACCCAGACCTGTTACTGAAGTCTAATTTGTCAATTCCATACATATAACAGGTATCAAAGATTGGATTCATCTAGAGAGTTTCCGCCAAACCCTAATACCAGCTGCCATCCTGCTGATTCTAATTATGGATGCCCCATATGTGCCAAAGTCAAACTGTGTATCATAGTGTTTTCAATTACTGACTTCTTCCATAGCATATTGCCAGGACTTTCTCTCGAGGCACTTCAGGATGGATTCAAACCAATAGCCTTTCACTTAGAAGTCAAATGTGTTAACCATTTGAGCAATCAACTAATTTATTAATCTGTTTAGTTTCTCCCAAAGAGCAGCCTCCTTCAGTCACAGCTTTCTTTACTTCCCACTTTACCTAAAACATCTGATCAAGAGATCAGCACAGTGATTCTCAACATTGGCTGCACATGAAACTATCCTGGGAATTTTTTTTTAAAGCCTGCCTGGAAGCCACCATCAGATATTCGGAATCTGTGATTCAGTTGATTTGAAGGCAAGATAAGACCCAGGCTTTTTTTTTTTTAATTTTCCAGATGATTCTATTTGTCGTCAGTGTTGAGAACTAATGCATTAGGGCAGCAGTTCCAATTTTTTGATTTAACAACTCCTTTTCACTCTTAAAAATGAGAACGCCAATCAGCTTTGGTTTATATGGGCTATATCTACTGATACTTACTGAAAATTAAAACAATTTAAAATATTTATTAATTTGTTTTCAAATAATAGTATACTTACATAGTGACATAAACAACATATTTTTGTGGGAAATGACTGTTTTCCAAAATTAGTGGCATTGTTTAACATTTTTGCAAATCTCCTTAATAAAAGATGGCTAGATTCTCATATTTGCTTCCTCATTCAGTTGAGTAGTATTTTGCTTGTTGTTGTTAAGTGTCATCAAGTCAGTTTCAACTTATAGCAGTGCTGCATAGGGATTCTGAGGAGCAGCTGGTGGTAGTGGTGTGCCGTGGAGTCGGTTCCAACTCAGCGACTCTGCATAGGGTTTCCGAGACTGTAAATCTTTACAGGAGCAGAAAGCCTCATCTTTCTCCTACAGAACAGCTGGTAGTTTCGAACAGCTGACCTTGAGGTTAAGAGAATCACTGACCTGTGGTTAGCAGTCCAATGCTTATCCTACAGTACCACACCAGGACTCCAATTTGTTGCTTAGCTTGAAGTATTAGAAGAAAACGCATGTTTATATAAATATTTAGTGGAAAAAACAGTAGCGTTTTAGCAACCTTATAGGAAAATGGTTGTGTATATTCTCTGATATTACATCAAAACTCGACATATTTCTTAAGTGTTGATTGCAATGTTTAATATAATACTATGTCAGCCTACTATGCATACTGTTACATGAAAACTCATTTGTCTTGTTTGCATGTATCTTTTTTACACATGCGTGATTCTATAATATTCTGCACTCGTCATTTGGAAAAATATTGGTTCCCTTGTTATTATGCAGATCTCCCAAACCTTTACAGATTTCTTTATACAGTATCAAAAACTCACATATATCATCATTATCACCTCAGGAAAGTCCTTAAGCATTAGAATGCTATTAAGCTCATGGTGACAATATTTCTAAGAAGTGTACACAATGACCAACATTTAATCAAATTAATAATTTTATTGCTTCATCAAGGACAATCCCAAGTAAAACTAGCCTTTTTTTTTTTCCCAAGCTATCAAGTGTTTACCAGTGAAAAATACAATGACAATTTCTTGTTGTTCTTAACTGTCAAGTCAATTCCAACTCATAGTAACCCTTTATAGGGTTTCTGAGGAGCACCTGGTGAATTTGAACAGCTGACCTTGCAGTTCAAACCAACTTTTTGGTCCATTGCTTATCCTACAGCGACAATGACTACTAAGACAGTTAGACAGTTTAATACATCTCTTTTGATTCTTGCTAAGATGCCAGCAGTTTTACATACCACACTTTTGCATCATCAATGAAACAGGCAAATAAAATCTTAACATGGTTATGAAAATTGTTCTTGTTGTTGTGAAGTGCCGTCGAGTTGGTTCTGACCCATAGCGACCCTATATAGGGTTTCCAAGAAGCAGTTGGTGAGCTTGAACTGCTGACCTTGTGCTGAACCACAGTGCCACACCAGGACCCCGATTATAAAAACAGGAACTCCTATTATGACATCCAATGAGATGCCCAACAAGATGGATTGGCACAGTGGAGGCAGTGATGCATTCAGGTGTAAAATGATTGTGAGGTTGGCACAGGACCAGTGTTTCATTCTGTTGTGCTTAGGGTCACTATGAGTCGGTACTGACTCAATGACACCTAACAGTAACAACATTATGATATCAAATGTCACTGGAGACCCAATTATGACATCAACTCAAAATGAGAAGGAGCACCTGAAAACATCCATTAATAATCAGAACATGGGATTATTAAGTATCAAGGTAAGAAAATCGGAAGTCATCAAAAACTAAATGGAATACATAAAGATTTTGATATCCTAGGTATTTGTGAGCTGAAATTAATTGGTATTTGTCATTTTCAATAAGGCAATTAATTATATGATTTAAAATGCTGGGAAAGACAAATTACAGAAAAATGGTATCTCATTCATTGTCAAAAAGAGCATTTCAAGACTGTCATGAAGTACAATGCTATTGTCTGTGATAGGATAATATCCGTTGCGCCTACAAAGAAGATCAGTTAATACAACTATTATTTAAATTTTCACACCAATGACTAAAGACAGTAGTGATGAAATTTAAGAATTCTACCAACTTTTTCAGTCTGAAATTGATCAAACATGCAATCAAAATGCATTGATCATTACTCGTGATTGGAATGTGAAAGTTGGAAACAAAGAGAAGGATCAATAGTTGGAAAATAAACCTTTGGTGACAGAAATGATGCTAGAGATCTCATGATCTCAATATCATTTTTCAACTACATAAATGGGACCATGCATATACATGGACCTCACAAATGAAATACATAGGAGTCAGATTCACCATATCAATGGAAAAATACATTACTTAAGACAAGGCTAGGGGCAGAATGTGGAACACACCATCAATTGCTCATATGAAAGTTCAGGCTAAAGTTGAAGAAAATTAAAATAAGTCCATGAGAGCCAAAATATGACCTTAAGTCTGTTGTTGTTGTTAGGTATCATTGAGTCAATACTGACCCATAGTGACCTTATGCATAGCAGAAGGAAACACTGCCTGATC